TTTTTGTTTATTTTATTGCTTTGTAAACAAATTCTTCTATTACATTTTGTTCTATACGAATCCAAATAAAATGTTTTTGACGAAAAGCAAATATAATATTTATCGGTGCCAAATAAACACAAATACATTTTCAGTTCTAAAATGAGAAGAATAAAAACTGAGAGTTAAAATACAACATACGGAATTGAGAGTAAAAACAGCAAATCGATATATGCTACTTTTACTCTCAGTATTCTATGTGTTGTTTTAACTCTCAGTTTTTTATATTCTCGTTTTGCGCTCAATAATTTCTTATGCTCTTTTTTCGAAAAGAATTTTTATAATTTGTTTTGGGTTTCAGGCTCTCATTTCATTTTTGTATGAAAGACTTGCCTTTGTGGTACCGTAATGATCTGAAACTTTGAACAGGCTATTTTTTGGATTGAAATTTCTTTAAACTTGGTGTGATTATTTATTTTGATATGAAAATAATATTCACAAGTTTTCACGGTAATTTAAGTTACTGCAACCATACAAAGACCATGATTTCAGTTTATTCCCAAAATTTCGGTTCCATGCGGAAAAGTCAGCTTGCGTACGTAAGCCTCTTTATTTTTTTTTTTATATTTATATAATAAATAAATCCCGTACAAAATTCAATACAATAACTGTCAAGTGTAGTTTTGTTAATAGGGATTGATAAGTTTCTCGCGTGGTCCACCTGTCAAATCGCTGTCGTCGACTTGTTCGACGGATTTGTACTGGGTGGAAACATGTTTTGGGGTGACTTCAATTTTTTGGCCTAATACAATACCCTCCCTACACTAAAAGTGCGGAAAAGTAAAATATTCTTGTGACCAAAACCAACGACATTGATTGATCGGTGTAAAACTTAGACTCTGAAGAGGCACTCATGGGAAAAATGCCTTAAAATGATATTCTTTCAATTTGAACGCTAGAAGATTGAGACAATAGTTGAATCGATAGATCGCAAATGACTAGGTGTACACGTACGATTGGGGCAAATACCCTCTGTCACCCTCTGTATATCCCAACATTCTAATTCGATCTCCTGCATTGGTACGTAATTTTCATGATCCATCACAGCTTTATTAATCTTTTGGTCAAATTTCAAAGCGGTTTTCAATTCAATCACGGCTAAGATAATAGACGAGTTAGTAAAAAAAAGTTAGTCTTATGTCAAATTCAAATGTCCATCTTAATGCGAGTAAAATAGACAACCTTATAGACATCACCTACCTATGTGGTGTTCATGCTTATGCTTCGAATATCCTGGATGCACGATTACATCGTCTTTAGTGACATTTATTGTGAGAGCTTTATCCAAATTTAAGGTGCTGAATTTCAATGTAGTTTGACTTTTGTTTTTAACGCAATGAGAATTGAAAGTTTCCAAAGCATGGCAGTAGTGACAGTTGGGCAACGTAGCATTGAACAATGGCACAAATTTGTGCCAGCAACCAATAGGGCTGCTATAGTTCATCTGGAAACCGATACGAGCGCTTCGGTCGTTACTGGTCACTGCCGTGCTTTGAAAGTTTCAATCTGATTTCATGTGACTTTACTAGGTAGCTAATACAATATTACCTGCAGTTAAAGTTTTCCATGGTGTCACGATGGTTCCGACCACGAATGGATAATCTTCAAATCTTTCAACCAAAATGCCATCAACAATTTGTGAGTGTACTATTTGGGAGTAAATGTACGATTTACTATGTTCTTAATACACAAAATTTTTACCTAGGGGGTAGACACGTGGAATAGGATTAGACTTTTAGTGTAAGAATTCGAGAAATTAAAGTGGAATAGACAATTCAAGTGTTTGTGTGTCCTCTTTTTTTTCCGTAGTTTTTGGAGAAAAGGTTTGAAGCCAATTTTTATCGAAAGTAGACTGAAAACTGAGCAAATTTATTTCTCAGTTTTAAAAAATTATTTGCGTAAGTGGTTTTCTGGCCATCTGTAAGGTACAACAATGACGTATAATTGTTGGAAAGGTAAAAGACTCACCTTTCCGGATTCGAAGTCAAAATGGAATTTTTTTCTAAAATGTCCCATGAAAAATGACCATGACTTTTTTCACGTAATCCAACTCAGAGAAATTGAACAGTGTGAACATGAATGTGTTCATTGTATTTCGCCCATTTACACTGAAGTTGTTTCTTCTCAGTGTGAATCGTCATTTTACACTTTGATTTTGCAAGTCCAGTGTAGAATAATTTTGCGTGATAAAAACTAATTTTTTCAAAATATTAAATTTTTTTCATGCTTTTATTTTATTGTTAAATATCCAATGAAAGATTTAGAACTTAATTTGGTTTGATATTGATTCAATTTGTTGTGATTTTTTGCTCTAAAAAAAAATTAGCATTGCGATGTAAAAAACACAAACGAAATTCATCTGGTTGGTCTGAATAGGCAAAGGCCTATTTACTTGAATTTGGACAGTTGGTGAGGACGACGAGAATGCTTAAGAATGCTCATCGGCGCATCGTCTGAAAGTTTGAACTTTATTATTATTGTTATTATTATTTCTGATTATTCTTCTAATTTTTTTTTTTTCTTTTTTTTTTCCTTGATAGAACTGAGTTTAACAATCGAAATTTTTAGAAAATCTTAAAAAAATGAGTGTGCACTGTACACTGCACGTGTACACACAATTGTTGAAGGCAATAAACTTTACTGTAGCTTAATTTTTTGGAGCATCAAGGGAATCATGAAGAACATTGAAAAAACACTTCCTTGCTCCATTTACTGGACGAGCATCAGCCCGAGTCTTAGTAGAGTATTTCAAACAAAAACCAATTGGTCTTAAGTTATAACTGTCTAGATTCACACTATCATCGAATGCACCCTGCTTATTTCTTAAAAATTTGTCGTATATAACAACTAAATGCCAGTCCACTTCGCCATTTTGCTCTTTTTTAAGAAATGCACCAATTTCCTGTTCTGTCTTTAGGTATGGACCTCGATTCAGACAAATAGCCATTGGTACGTAATTTAATGTATTTTCCATTCCTCCACCCAGCGAATATGCTAATAAATGTCCAACTTCATCATGAAGTCTGAAATCCTTAGCTTCCAGCAAATTGTATATATCACTAGGTATCCCTGATCGTGACGGCAAATCTTGTAGATGTGAGCGCTTAATTTTAGCATGAAGATACACTGGTAAACGAATTTCCTTTTTAAAAGGTTGAGGTATTTGTCTATATATGATTTTTTTAAAAGGAGAGTTTGCAGGATAATCATCACTATTAAAATAACCCGTTCTTCGATTATCATTTGCAAGTCTCTCAAAATTTCCCATCATTGTATCAATACTTTCGCTTGGGAAATCACTCAACCATGGGTAAGGTAATGCAGCGACAACAGCTACGAATACCACTGTGAAAAAAAATCCGAAATATTAGTGTTATGTTTTAAATAAACAAAAATTAAATTTCAATAAAAAGTTTTCCACATTTCCGATATGGGACATACCAATTAATAGTAGTATCTTCATGATGATGACGTTAGAGTTGCTTAATAGAACGACGTACTCAAATTCCGAAAAGCTTAGCTCGAATGATTGCTTAAAGACGTAGAAGCACTATTTATATGGTGAACACACTGTTAGAAATATTGACGCAATGTTCACAATAGTAGGGTTCTCAGATTTGAGATCAATTGATTTGAAAATCAACAAATCAAATCGCAAATAAATGATTTGATTTGAAAATTTGCAAATAAAAAAGTCAAATAATTTGATTTGAAGTATCATATATTTCAAATCAAATGATTTGAATATTTTGATTTGAGAAAATTCAAATAAAATCAATTTATTTGATTTTTATATTGATTTGAATTCTCAAATTTCTCAAATCAAATCAAACATGTGTTTATTATTTTACTAAAAATATTTAAAAATAAAGAGGCTTACGTACGCAAGCTGACTTTTCCGCATGGAAC